TTAGACTGGTTGACACCTAAGGCTAAAGAGCTCAGTCTCATAGAGAAAGAGCGGAGACAAATCTATGCCTGTTCCACGGGAATAAGTATGAAAATGAATGCAACACATTAGCCTGAAATTTGAATTCAGTTTGCCAATTCTCCTTTACACACTAATATCCAGTACATTACCTACACACCTCTCTCTCTCATATATATATATATATATATATATATATATATATATATATATATATAGGTGAACATTAAAGTCAACACCCAGTGGCGACAAGGCAAAACAATGCATATGGCCTAATATTGAGCACTTTAACCCATAAATATAGCATAATCTTAAAGCTATATTTTATGAATGTTTAAGATGTATTTTTTGTGTTGTTTTGAATACTAGTAGTAGCATTTATTCTTAAACATTCAAAACATGAAGAAGTGGCTGAAAGTGTTTGAGATAATGGACAATAGGGACCATTTTTGCATTCCCTTACTCACACCAAATGAAAAAAAAATGTAAGAACGCTGGAAAAACTAAATAAAAATTAATTAAATTTTCCTTGTCTGTCCTCTCTCTCTCTCTCTCTATATATATATATATATTATAATAATAATAATAATAATATAAATAGTTATACTCATTTGGAAAAATCTTAGGTATTTTGGCTTGTAATTGAAAAAACCAATGCCCAAGGGAAAATAAGGGATAAAAAAAAGAAAGAACTAAGAACATGAAATTGAGGCGAAAATAATCATCCAGAATCCAAGCTCAGAGTTCCCCCAAAAAAACCTCCAAAACGAGTAAAGCAAAAGTAATAACATAAAGTGCTCAATACACTAAGTAGAGCAAACCTATATATATATATATATATATATATATATATATATATATATATAAAAAGAGCAAATGCAGCACATGCAGGAATTGGTCCTTGAAGAAAAAAAGCAAAAGTACTTCTGACATACCGACTACATGGTAATATATGTTGACCATCACATCTCATATCACTGGCAACGGTAGGACACTGGATAAATCATTTTGACGGATTATTGGTGGCTACTTTTTTCTCTCTGTTTCTTTATGTTCCAAACTGTAGATACAGCCAATGTTGTATAAATCATGTAAGCTTAACATAGACACACAGCTGTCGAGTTTTTTTCATAAGTTCTCCCTCGTCATTTATGGACAACATGATTTTTGCACTTCCTGCATTCATTGTAGCTAAACGTCAGCAGGTTATAATAAAAATGCACTAAAAGGCAAATAAAAATGTCTTAACAGTATTTTTAAGTGCTCAAAAACAGCTGATTCAACAGCTAGCAACACAAAACAGAAGTGGAAGGCTTGTGTGGCAAACCAAGGAAATCTGAAATTGTTCTTGTGGAAATTACTGACAGTTTACTGATTAAACTGGATTACTAAATACCTGATCCGTGACAGCCAACCTGCACTTAATTTCCATCAAAAGTATCATTCTTATAAATTTGACATCTTACTAGTGTAGTCTTATGAATTAATGCTTTTGTAACAACTCAAACACATGTACCCACTAAAAAGAAATAATGTCAGATAAAAAATTCCTTTCCAAAATTACTGTTATTTATGTTTTGGGAACAAAACTGAAACTAGCAGATATAGATTAGCAGAAATCCTAACAAGAAAAACATACTTTTCTTAAATAGGTAATTCAAAACTTGCCCAGTCAGACTGGCCTACATGGTTGAACTGGTAGTGGCCCACTTTGGCTCAAAGTACTTTCCCTGATAGTAAAAAGCTATTCATGTTCGATTCCTGTTGGAGACACAATTTTTCTTTTGTATGATTTCTCATTTTAGGCCAGTTGTTTGTATTTACTTGATCAGCAAGATCATTTGTATCCGGTGTCAGTCTAAAGCACGTCAAACCTAATGACGGCATCTCCAACAAAGTGGAGAAAAGGTTTGAATCCTGCCAGAGGGCACACATTTTTCTTTAATAAGATTTCTCGAATATTCAGGACCGTAGACACAAATAAATATACTGTTTAATAAATAAACAGATCATCTACTCAAATATAGGTATCTACTAACAATAAGTGATAAAATCTGTCGGATTAATAAATAAAAAATCCATTATCTCTTTAGAAATTAATTTCATTGTTTAATAAAATAAACAGAGATAGCAACTCAAACACATGTACCCACTAAAAATAATAATTATAGTAGCATAAGAAATGGATATTTTATATAATTTACTATTAATGAATAAACAACATTATACATAAATACTAGCATAATACCCATCAAATCTTTGAGGATTATTTATAGATGAATTAGCATTTCTGCCTAAAACCAGAGTATCTGTGCACTCTGCCTAGAATCAACCCGTCACTCCCTAGTTCTCTGTTAAGGATTAGTGTAGTATCTGTGTGCTTTGCCTAATTTAGTATTTGCAATTAAAACTATGCTATTGGTGTGATGGACATATTATTTGTTTCTTTAGCTTCAAATCAGAGTAAGATTCAATAGTTAATTTTATATAACTGTTTACTTTATTTCAATAGAAGTTAGAAACAAAGAAATACGAAGAAAAAGATGAATTGAAAATTATAAGACAAATTAAAAGGCTAGGATTCACTTGTTAATGTTGTATATCTGTTTAATCTAACTTGATAGAAGTTATAGATAAATCACCAAAAAGTCCTATAGAAAAGATCAGACTATTATTATTATTACATTCTATTTAATTCTATACATTTTTACAAAAAATTGTTGGTGCCTGAATGTCAGTTAATAAACATCATTTTTTTTTCTTTGTACTACAATGAGCTCTCAAAAGGTCTTGACCTGACCCACTTTCAAAAATTAGTATTTTAATGATCAAAACCAAACATCAGAACACTTGTTTTGGAAAATAGGTTGGAATAAGAACTTTTCAACAGTCCTTTTTTATGCAAAAAGTAAGTGGCAGACATCTGGAAGAGGTTGATTGATTTTTTTTCCAATAATAGGTGTTGATATGCATAAGAGATAAAAACATTTGGAAAGTGAAGTGTGTCACAGGATCTTTTGTCCTAGATACTTAGTCACCAATCTGATAAAGTATATATAGTTAAATCATTGACTCAGTAGCCTAATAATGAAAAATGTGTTTATTTTATGCAACAAGCATTGTCTAACATAATTTGGTGGCAAATATTAATCATAGAGATAAAAGATTATACATGAAAGTTTCAAATCAAAATTTATTTAAATAACTATGTAACTACATACACCCTAATATGTTACAAAGAACTTTGCAATAATTTCAATTTATATTTGTTTATAAAATATTTAATATATCTTGAAAGTTAATCACAGAGAATATACAATTTGTGTACACACTAAATATATTCTTTCTTAATGCCTTGTCCCTTCAAGGCATAGACAATCATGGCTCCCCACATAGTTCCAATTCTTTATTATTTGTGAATTATTAGGGCTTACTACTAAAGATTTGCTAAAATAATGAGCATACATGATGAAAAATTTCCCAGGCTTAATAAAAACAAAATTTTATCATCAAAACCTTTATCTTATTATTAAGAGGAAAGACCAAGGTTTTTTTTTTATTATTAAATTATATTTTTTAATCATTTTTAGGACCTTATAAAATTTGTTAAAATGTTGTTTTTCTTGCACCAACTGGTGACTATAAATTAATATGGGAAATTTTAGTCTTTTTTTTGCAGTGAAAAACACATTGATTTGGAAATTCTTGCAAAAATCAGACAATTGTTGGACTTTAATGAAACTTTCAGGATTTATTCACAAATAGATGAAATTATTTTTTAAATGTTTCTTTATTATTTTTTTTTACATTTGTTAACCACACACACACACACACACACACACTTATTTAATTTTATGAAATTTTGAGAAGTTAATTTTTGTAGAGCTTAATACCAGTCATAAGCACAAGACCTTGAAGAATTTAAATCATCAAATTGTTTTTTATAAAACAGGACTCCCAGTTACAGAAAATTTGTTTTGAATCATAAAATAAAAAATGCAATAAAACTAAACATTATTTAATTAGAAAAACTTTTATATGCTTTTATAAATAAGATATATTATGGACACTACTGTCCAAAAAAAAAACAAAAAACCTTTTTGATGAATAATGAATTTGTACAAGAATTGTTTTTTTTTTTTAAATTTTAATTAGAATAATTTATAAAGCTTTAAATCTTTTAAAATTCTATATTAATTTGTAGTGGTTAGTTGATATTGTTATTAAGTGAAATATATACTTACTAATCGTAAATGGAAAAAGCTTAATACAATGCATCAACCCCCAGTATTTTAAAAAGAATTTTGAATTATCTTTGTGTGTATATATAAACATACCAATTTTTGTAAATATGGATCTCCATACACAACATTATCAGAAAATAATTGCGGTAACTATAATAAATTTAAAAGTTATTGGTAATTTTCTAACATTTCCTCAACAAGTATCTTCATTGGTAAGACTATAAAGCCAAAGTACCTAACATTCAATAACATATTAGATTACTTTGAATATTTTCCTAAATTTTTAAGATTTCTGTGTAATTAAAAAATTATATAAAAAGATGCTAATATCATATTTAGTAAATTTTACAGCTGTGTTAAAAATGCTTTTCTGCAATATTTTAAACTAAAAGTAATACTTGTTTCTAATCAGATTAATTAAATTTTAAATCAGATAATCTTCCACAAATAAAATTTCAAAAAAGTATATTTTTGAAAGATTTTTTTAATATAGAGAATCATGTTGTGTTCACAGATTTGCTAATATGGCTGATTTTTAGCAACTTTAATGATTTTAAAAAATAAATCATTCTAATCAATTCAAATTCAGATCGAAATACAGAAAACTGTTTTGGTTTTTGGAAATATTAAATTTAATTTAATAGCTTGAAACTAAAACTAAAATAAAAGCTTGACGAAAGATCTTCCATTTTTAAAAATACATATTAAACATTAGGTATTGTTTTTCTTTAGAAGTACCTATAGATAGATAGATAGATAGATAGATAGATAGATAGATAGATAGATAGATAGATAGATAGATAAATTTATTTACATTGTAGGTAAAGGGAAAGCAACCTTTTGAATTGGATTACCTAATTTTCAGTTAACAGCTACACAAATATAATTTGTATTGCTTTCCTTGGAATGGTTTGACAAAGGGAAATTCCATTTTTCCCCACTAAAATATTTGGTATTAGCTATTTTTTTAATATAGAAAATTAATTAATATTAATATTATTAAATATATTATTAAACTTATTGCACTTATAATTTAAAAAAATATGAACTTTCTCATCTTAATATATAATGTCAGAGTTCTTTTGCCTGTAATGTCTACAATTTTATAAAAAACGTTGTATGTAGAGTATTATATAGAGTTATCTCCCTTGCACAAGAAAAGCAAGTGCATCCAAAATGCTTATAAAACAAGGTGAAAGAGTAGCGTACAACAATAATGACTAAAAAAATATATACTATATACACTCGTGTATAAGCTGACCTCTGAATTTTTTGCATGTATTTTAACACCTCTAGAAAAAATTTACCCGTGTATAGTGCAGCTAGTCACTGGAAATTCAGATGTTTTAACCTCTTCAAAACAATTACCTGTGCATAGTGCAATCCTCTATTTTCTGTGTAAAAACTGATCATCAAAACTCACACTACACTCAGTATTTAAAATGTTATCAGTTTTGAAGGCATGGGTAAAACTGCCAAAAAAAAAAAAAATTTTACAATGTTCTGATATGCAAAGAGGAAACTCAATTGACGGCAAATCCCTTCCATAAAATGACAGACATTAAAGGAAATGCTGATAATAAAGGTTCATAAAACAAATTTACTACCAGTATTTTATGTTAGTGAATGAACTGCATATTGATTTCTTCAAGAAATTCAGGGATTCTCTTATTTTAGGGGTGTGGGGGGTAAGAGATCAAGTTTAAAGAGCAGAACCATACCAGTAATTTCATTTAATCATCAGTATGATAAAATACAAAGTATAATTATTATCAAAATCTTTATGAAACTAATGTTTGATAATATCTGTTGAAATGCATTGATTTTGTACTGACAATGTCTAGCTTTATTAGGTCATTGGTATCTTTGAAGTTTCACTAATTCTTTATGACATGTGCAATCAATCAATTGCAGTACATTGTTTCCAGACTTTAGGAGAAATTCAGTCGCAAGAAAATGGGTTCTTTGCTCTGCATAAAAATACAGAAATGGACATTGTTCAACATTTTTCACTTCTTGTTTGAAAAAGAAAAAAAAATGTTTTTACAAGAGTCACTGGTAAGGGAAAACGGATTTATTATGAAAATCTAAAACAAAAAAAAATGTTAGACAAGCGTAAGAAACTCAACCACAATGGAAGGAGGAGGGGGGGCATTTTCTCCATGCTTCATGGAATACAAAGGAAATTCTTTATTATAAATTACTATGACCCTAGCAGACTATTACTGTACAATGCTACAATGAGTGAGCAATTGGCTTTGTTGAATGACATATAAACAGAGAAAGACATTTTTGGGAGGCAAGGAAACTAGCCAATGATTTTACTGAATGACGACAACTCCCATGAAGCAATAATGGAACCGTAATTTTAAAGATATTTTAAGGCACCAAGTGTTCACCAGGCCATAAAACAATGGTTACTTTAACAGGTCATTACTACCAAATAACAAGTTCAATTCTCACAGAATGCTTCATACTTGTGTCCTTGTGCCAGACGAATATTATATTGTTAAACAGCTATGAGACTTTGAGAAACAGAAAAATATGCAATCACAATTAATAAGTATTTACTTACATATTTTATATCAAACTTTTATGAATCCCTGCTGGAATATAAGTTTGAACAAAAGTGATAACCTTCTATAAATTTGTGTACAGTTAAATTTTATCTGTCTGTCCCTACCTTACATAAGTAGAACAAAACAGCCCACATTGTTAACACATAAGGAATAAAGGGTGCAGTTCAAAATTCCAACATATGTCACTTGAAGGCTGTATTGTATAACAGTTGAAATGTTGTGAATATGATAATAAAGATGAGGACAACAGTCCGAACAATGTAAATAGTGTAAACACAGAAGGAATGCTTACTAACCTTTTATATATATATATATATATATATATATATATATATATATATATATTATAAAAATAGCATTTACAACAGTAGTTATAATATTTAATTGGCATAACAATTTTAAAAGCATATTTTAATAAGTATTTCTTCTGTTTTATTTATTTTTAATTCAAATTTTTAAAATTATCATTTTATAAGTAATATCTCCCTCAATAATTCTTTTTAAATTCATGTATAGAAATAATTTGTATCTGCTTTGTCCATATTGAGTTGTAACCTACAGCATTTATAATAAGCATTGTTGTCATCTGATATTTCACAACATTACAAATTAGTCAGATAGAGTCGAAAAGAAATTTTATGGAATTACCTAAATAAGTCAAAATAATCTGTTTAATTAGATTTTCTTAAAATTACTGAATTATTTAAACAAGTTGAAAAGTAGTAAGTTTTCGGAATTCATTTTTATTATGAATATAAACATTAGAAAAACTGACTTAAACAGGAACAGTAACCCAAATGATATATTTAGCTTGCAAATTTTTCTGATTATCATTTTGCATGTCACAATTAAGTTTCTAGTTCTCTAAAATGATTTACTTTTGAATGTTATTCAAAATTTCAGTACAAATATTTCTTGATCATTTTTTTTTTAATCAAGCAAGGCGATAATGCCATTATGACACAAAGAGTTATTGGGAGTAAAAGATAATGATCAGACTTTAATGAGGTAAAAGGACAATAATAGACTAGGATTTGAGAAAGCAGAAGATGGTAATTGATGTTGTATTTAAATTTTTTGAAGACTGTACGTGGCAGAGAAGCAAGAAACCAGAAGGGAGTTCCACAGGCAAGAAGTGCAAGAAAAGAAACTATTAGAATAAAATGGATGGTTGCATTTTGCTAGTTCAACAGTACCCTTTGTGTCTTAGTGGCTGTATTACCTTACTTGAGGTGAACTGATTAAAAATAAAATGGCTTTATGTAGCTTGCCAATCTAGTAGCACATCTAAAGCTACCAAGCAGGAAAGCTCATCAGAACAATTGGCATGAAAATATGTGGAGAGACGCCACATCATGTTGGTAAGAAAGTGACTGATGTTGAGATGCCAGATCAGGATCAATTACAATACAGACCCTTCTTTGAATTTTGTCAAGAATCTTGGGATATATATAGTAGGAGCATCTGACCAGATAAGGCAGCAATGGACGAATGGTAGATTTATAAATGTACAAGATGGATTCTGACAAGAAAAATTGTCTGGTAGGACACAGTGAATCAACTTTCCCAGCAATAGACCTAACTTAGTAATGGATTCTATATAATCACTCCACTTCACATCAGTGGAAAACATGAGCTAAAGGAGGTACAATGAATAGCACTACTGGAGGTTATCATCAGCCATGATGATGGCAGGCTGAAAAGATTCTGTATAAATAAAAAAAAAGCAGTTTTGTTTTGGAGGTGTTCAAATTTACAAGCTATTCCTTGCCCCAGTTAACCACTGATTAGAGGTCCTTTTCAAGCGCAAGAGTTTTGCTTTGACAAACCAGTTGAACTTCCTTCTAAGACAGGAGTAAATAGTTGTGTCAATCTAATACTCTGTTGTGACCTAGAGAAAGTTACTGAATAGAATAATCATACAAAGGTTGGTAATGAACGATAATATTTAGGACAAGAACAACACATATAAGATTCGCCAGCAGTGCATAGAAGTAGTAGTCAACTACTAGAAGTGAGTTAAGTGAATTCCACAATGAATCTCCAACTGCAGACCAGACCCTCAGATACTGTATTCACTACTGTATGTATGGGAATGGGGGCATACCCATTATCATCCATAGGTATGCTACAACATACTCCAAGAAACTTAGAAATGCAAAAGAAAATTTATATCTGAATTTCTGGGATGAGGAGTTATCTTTATTTACATTATTTTACATGCGGATTATAGTCGTCTGCATGTAAAATAATGTAAATGCAACAACAGAAAAGTTCAGAATATTTGAAGAGATTGATCAATATGTTCATTTGTCAATTTACTGCATTACCCATGTCTTGCCGGATATTTAACACATTTCATGCAATTATTTCAAAGAATCTTGTTTTCTACCAATTTTTTCTTTGTTAGAAGCCATTTTGAGCTGAAATTACAAACATATTTTGGTAACACCATTGATGCAAAATTAGCTTCAGAAAAGGAAAAATAAAAAGCTGCAACTACAAAGCATATCTACTGATAATAAAACTATTTATTAGGATAATCAACCATTCCAGACGGATAAAGATTTTGTAATCACTTTTTAATGTGAAATTGGTTTAATATAAGCTTGTAAGACTCATGCAGAAGCTTTCAATTATTATCTACAAGGGATTCTGATAATACAATTCCAAGTAATTGTGAAAATAATTAAATTTTCAACAATGATTCTCTTTTGTATGTCACAATGGCATGAATCATTCTTTTACATCTTTACGGAATAAAGTATTTCATTTTCATGCCTAGCTAAGTACAAGCTAAACCCAGAACAAAGCAATGTTGAATAAAAATAAAAGCAAAAAAATAGAAAAATATGACCACAGAGACAACAATCTTTCACGAAAACAATATACATCTCTTTAGCCAACTGCCATCATTTTCAAGGGATAGAGGAGTTTACTTATTGCTGACAAAAGAAACCAATACAATTTTTTTTTAAATCAAAGGTAATCCAATAAATATTAAAACTAGACTAAAATCCTTATCTTATTTTCTGACTGAATTTCTGGGATGAGGAGTTATCATTATTTACAATATTTGCATTCAGACTATTGTCCTTATCTTTGTTGTTGTTATCACAATGTTTCAGTCATTATGACCTCCGGCCTTTATTAGGTGTATAACAATCTGGGTAACCTACAGAGAATTCTAAACTGGATGCCTTTATTTAATCTACAGAGGAAGACTGTTCTTATCTAGTTCTTATTTTTAGTACTGCCCAGTTATTGCTCGCCCGTTTCCAAGTATCAAATTGCCTGGCCCAGTGATTGAATCAGGAATTGTCACCACATTCATGAACAAACAACTTAATCAACTAGGCTATCCTATAGGACAATTTCTTTTTAATCAATTCATCCCAAGCAAGGTTATAATGCCACTAAAACGCAAGGGGCTAAAAGAGAATGAGAAGACTTTAAAAGGAACCAGAAACCCAATCCTAAACAGGAAACCAGGGATAAACCTCTACTCCTGTTCAAAAGACTGGGGAGGTGTGTGAACTGGATGATAGGTTCACCTATCTACTCCTATTGATTTTATGTGATAACAACAACAAAGTCTGAATGTAAATAGTGTAAATTATCTTATTTTATTCAATAGCATATTGTTTTATTGGAACATAAGGTAGAATGTGAAGGTGGAGTAATGGATTGTGGCTCAGAATGAGAAATCAGAGAGCAGAGTTCAAATTCCATTTAAGTTTGTTATATTCACTTACAGGCAAATACCCTTGGGAAAAGTATGAATCCGCCTCTTCTCTCCCACCAACTACAGGTTAAATATTAGTACAGACTGGTCTCTTCAGTCTTGCTTGGCAGCCAGTCTGGGAGAAAGACAATTCTGAATTCAAAACCATATGTAGCCCAGATCAAGCACATACTATGGAGCTAAGGAAAGAATCAGAGTTCACAATCACTCAATGATCCTGACTATGGGTAGAACCCTCCTTTTTTCTTTTTTTTTTTTTATTCGGACCAAGCAAGTGGCTTTAATGAACTTTTATCATATGCAGAAAAAAATTAGTGAGCTTTTTTTTTTTTAAACTGTAAGAAACAAAGTCGGTTTTATTTTTTAATTATAAGAAATATAATTAAAGATATTAGTCCAAATGAAACATGGAACACCAATAACAGCACATTATAAAGGATAAATCAAAATAGTTAAATATTTATTAATTTTGCTTGTGCACACTATACTTTTTATGTTGGTATCACCAAGTAGAGAAGTCTTTGTAATTCTTTTATTTTTTTAAGTGCTATATCCTCTTGATTTAAAAAAATGGCTTGCCACACCTTCTTTTCCTTAATATCTTAACTTTGCATTGAGTTGGGAAAGGCAGATGAATCATTTCCTGTTGCTTTTGACCTATTTAAATCCAGATTTGTTCTTCTCTGGTAGCCCAACAAGGCTATAGAACCTAGCCTGTGCTGTTATTTAGCCCATAGCTGATTTGGGGGAGGGGAGTAAGAGATAGTTATGCCTTTCCCAAAGCCATTAGTGCAAAGTGAATGTAAAATCCCCAGTAGAAAGATAACTATTGCCAATTTCATTTTTTATACAAATAACTGTCACACCACTGCACAATTGTAATTAGCTAATAATAATAAAATATACCTGTCCATGGGTTGCATTTTAATTAAAAATAGAAAACATTGCAAGCCACATAAATGCTTTTTTTACAGTTCTCATAACACAATAATGACAGATTTATAATCTGGAAGAATATAAAAGAAACTGCACAAACACTGAAAACAGACAACTTTGAATAGACACCAAAGACAACCATTGCTGACAAGATACAACACTATTCTGTCTTTTTAACTGAAGCAACATAAAGTTATTCTATTACCAAAAGATGCATAAATTTAAAACTAAAAGTCTATTTCAGGTTCTTTTTTCCCATTAATTTGGACACTTGTAGGTTGAAAAATAAAAAAAAAACCAACAGAGAAAGAAAAAAAAGAGAAACAGACAGACAACGAAATAATTACCAAGAATTCCTTCTTCAAGAGTTGGAAGATTATTTCTAACCGATATGTCAAAAGTTCCATCCGGAAGTATCTCTCCATCATTGTAACTTATGGCTGCACTCAAAATAGCCTCACTGGTTGATCCTGGAGCTGTGACATCACTCTGAAATTGTATTGGCTGTGAAGTGTTGCTGACAGTAGCAGTCCCTGTTCCCACAGTCACAGATGCAGGAACAACTCCTGTGGTCGGTGCAACAACAGCAACCGTGTTAGCCTGTGGCTGTGTGGGTTGGCTGGTTGTGAATGTCACAGGTAATGTCGATAAAGACATACTTTTCTCTTCCTGGTTATGAGTTATCTCTCCCTGGTCAACTTTGACAGCTGCTGCAATTTTATTAGCAACTGCGCTAGTTGCAGGAATTGCTTGTGCAAAGCTAAACTTCTGAAATTGCGGCCCACTTATTGTTTGTCCATGGTTCACATTTGCAGCTGCAACAAGCAGTCTTGGGCCCTGTTGCTGGATCTGTGCCCCACCCTTGCCATCTTTATCCTGAGGGTTCACAGCAGACAGGAATTGCTGAATGCTCACTGTATTGTTTTCTGTAAATGTATAGACAAGTCCTGTGGCCGACGTGAAAGGAATATTAAGGACATCTGTAGACAATTTGTTGCCGTTAGTTGTAATATTATTGTTGTTGTTGCTGTTATTATTGTTGTTATTACTATTATTATTATTATTATTATTATTATTATTATTATTATTATTACTGCTGTTATTAATGGCAGAGGGATCACGAAATGTCTGTGCTGTGGAATGTCGGCTACCTTGTAAGAGAGATACTGTAGGGGTTATCTCACTAACTTGAAGACATGGTTCATTACTGACTGTAGCTATCTGAGCTGGGGAGGGAAAGCTGGACGGTGATGAAGATGATGGTGGCAGTGGTCGTGGGGGTGATGATGATGACATGGTTCAACCTAGCTGATTACCCACAATCCAAGAGTTGGCAGTCTTTGGAATTCCCACTCGCCATTGGTTAACTGGATACCATGAGCTGAAAGTTGAATACAAAAGTCGTCAATGAGAAAGCTACCAAAAACAAATAAAATCAACATGGAAACTGACGCCACAGGAACTGATGCTCATCAACTTAGATTTTCCCACTGTATCTTTGTGATGTGCGTACATTCGTTTTTTCTTCAATAGGCTACAAGGTTTGTTTTTTTTATAGGGCAAGATAGTTGATTATACTTCTTGATCAATCCAAACTCATTTCTTTTATTTCTTTATATTAGAAATCTTGCTAGTGGTCACAGGTTATTTATTATATAGTTACTAAATATCACCTATGTACTTCCTTAGAAATAATCAGGAGAATGATAAATATATATAATCAACCTCAACCTCTATTTTTTTATATTTCTTCCTGTTAGATCTAATTACTCCTCTCCAAGTCATCGAGCCTGGTCAGTAACCTAGATAGGTGACTGCTGGGGAATATCAGGTGCTGTAAGCTTGGATGTGCAGGTGGTGTAATGGATAAAGATTTGAAATTAATTGGAGAGCCGAGTTCCAATTCCCATTGGGCTCATTATATTCACTTATGTGCAAATAACGTTGGGGAATCTATGAATTCACCTCTTCTCCCCCAGCTATGGGTTAATTAGTAAGACTTGTATCACTAAATCATGATTATCTCAAAAAAAAAAAAAAAAAATTCTTACAATCTAAAAATAAAAATTTTTTGGCTTTAAATAACCCGCAAAGGGTTAATAAGCCATAGAATATGAATCAAACAATACAAAACCTCTTCAAGTGTCATATCCATTCAGAATGTAACTTCACACTCTTTTTAATAACTATAATCCATGTATTTCCACGATTGTACTTGGTATTTACCTAACCTTTCCACTAAGAATTTTTTTTACATTTGGTGGTGATACATAAGCATATGGGTCAAGGATAAAAATTGCCCAGATTCCATGCGAGCAATGTCATGTTGACATCAATATTATATTGACTCCCATCTCCTTTAGTACAATGAGAAAAGTACTGCCACAGTGTTAGAATTTCCAGGATCAGGCACCTTCTCACATCTCAAATGAGGTAAGAATAGATACTACACTTTGATCTTAGCCAAAAGGTCAAGAAGCAATAGTATTTACCTGGCCTCTCCACTAAAGCAGGATGTAACACAAGGTCTTTTTTTAAAGTAGAGTGTTCATATACATACATATGGGCCAAGGACAAAAAATGCCCAGCCCCAATGAAATGCCCTCTTCCATCTCAAACAAGAAGAGAACAGATACTACACTTTCATCCTGGTCAAAAGGTCAAGAAGCAATTGTTCTTTGGAAAGATAGAACAGTTTCTCATTGCCTTCAATATGGTTTTGAATTCAGAACTGTTCATCTTCTAGACTAGTTGCCAACCAGGCCTAGAGCTTTGTCTGTTATTGTTATGAGGGAAGAAATGGATGCATGCCTCTTCCCAGAGCATAAGTGAACTTAAACTATCTTAGCCAGAAAAATTAATATAAACTTTCTTTCCATCTGAATTTCTAGCATGACAAGTTATTATTTATATGCTGACTAATATCCTCATCTTTGTTGTTGTTATCACGATATTTCACTGTTGTGCCCTGCAGACTTCATCAGGTGCTTGTCGATCTGCATAACTTTCAGTGAAATGGGATGAGCAATAACAGAGTAGTATTAAATAAGAACTAGACAAGATATACCTAGAGATGGTCAACAGAACGACAACAATCTATCCCTGTAGATTAAATAAAGGGTTCAGTTCAAAATTTCCATGAAAGTTAACTCAGATTGACAAACACCTGATGAAGACTTGAAGGGCACAATAGTAAAAAAGGTGATATCAACAACAAAGATGAGGACAATAGATAGGACAATAAACTTTGCTAGACAGAATTCCATTTACCAAACTGTTAACTGTTAGTACACCTGCTGTCAAATTACTACTTGCATAATACAAGTTTTCTAAAAAGCTATGAATTTTGTTTCATAACAGAAAAAACATGTTTCGTTCAGAATGAAACTGACGTATGCACAAATATTGGGTATATAGACCATGAATTCCAGCTACGTGTCATGGAGTTCTAGACTGAGAAAAACTTAGAGAGATGTGTGAGGCCATAAGCAGAATTCTCTGATTGCAAATCAATTTTGTACAGAATATTTTCAGTATTTAATATTGCTACTCTAACCAAGTTTATTGTAAAAAAAAAAAAAAAAAAACTGCAAAACTATTACTTTTAATTTTTAATCATCTTAATAAAAAAAAAGTTACTAAGTCATCTTTTGCACTATAGCTTTATAAAAAAATGTTTTTTCACAACTGATAAATTTTTAATGTAGATGTAATCTTAATCAAATATTTTTATGGAGATTTAATTTCCTGAAGAGAATCATATGATTATCAAAACAATTTCTAATGAAATAATGGATTTTTTATTTATTTATCCAACAGATTTTATCACTTTAAACATTATTTTTAGTGGATTTGAGTAGCTGCTCTATTTATTTAAAACAGTTTATTTATTTATTTTCGTCTACCAGCCTGAATATTTGAGAAATCTTATTAAAGAAAAAGATGAGTCCTCCGACAGGATTTGAATGTCCATGCCCCTTAGCAAAAGTTGTTAGACCTGACATGCTTAAGACTGACTCAGCCACGAAGGTTCTTGTTAATCAAGCAAAGCATGTCAGATCTAATTACGGTTTCTCCTGCAAAGGGGAGGGGGAGGTTCAAATCCTGTCAGAGGGTGCATCTTTTTCTTTAATAATGTTTATTGAATATTCAGGCCAGTAGGCAAAAATAAATAAGTATACTGTTTAATAAATAAACTTCTCAAATATGGGCATCCACTAGAAATAAAGCGATAAAATAACTATCTAAATATCCCTTATGTAATAACACATGCTTCCCTAATTATGTAAAAATAACATTAAATTTAAAAAAAAACAATTTACAGCTTCCTGTCATACACTAATCTACAAATTTAGTCAAAGTCTAAAATTACACTATAGAATGGAGTGACCACACAGAAATATGTTTGGACTAAATATCATCTATTAATTAAGAAGAATGTTATAAGTGAACTTTCTTTAAAAATCAATTACTAGGAATTATACAAATGTGCAGAATCCTAAGTAGATAATAATTGCATTTTAAGGATTAACTGTTAATAACTAAATGATTGTCTCAGTTTTTTTTTTTGTTTTTTTTTTCTGTATGCAGACCATAAAACATTTAGCAGTAAAAACAGGAGACAATCCATTAAACTTATTAAATGCAACTATTTTTTCAGTTGCCAGACTCTGTTGTCATTATGTGTTTATCTTCCTCAAGTAAACATGGACTAAAAATTAAATGGGGCCCAAATTATTTGTTGGGCCTGCTCAAAATATATAAGGTTTGATTCATATCCTGTATTTATTTGTATACAATGCAATCTTATGCACAACATCACACTCTTTTCTTCCATGTAAAATGTATGGATTTTAATTCTTGAACACAATATGAAAAGAGGTATGAAACAATCAGTTTTCAATTTGCACAGTGTATCATCTTGTCCTTGAGACAATTTTAGAAGCCAGTGTAAATCCCACATTTAGATACCATTGAATGCTTAAGACATACAAAGAGAAGGACTTTCTGCTAAGAAGAAGTATCTAGTGAGAACTGGTGCTTCACTACCTGATTCCAGGATTAAACATTGGGATTGGCGTAGTGGATATAGGTGTCATTATACACTGTGCAGCAGAAATACCTCCTACATAATGGTAAGATACTAGCTAGATTAAGACACCATTATCACTAATGTCTTGCTATTATGTGGGAGGTATTTCTGCCACACCCTGTACATATATTAGTCATCTAGTGGTCATGAGGTTGATCCTGGGACCAGGTAATAATATGTCTATTCAGCAGGAACAAACAATAACTAATAACTAACATCTTCTTTATGTGCCATGTCCCTTCAGGATGTAGGTGACCATGGCCCTCCACATCATCCTGTCTCTTGTTGCTCTTTATAATTTTTTTCTTTTTGCTATTTCTCTTAAACACTGTTCTACCATCTATTTACTCAAGCCTATCAAGTATGTTACACACTGTTTTCCTCTGTCCCGCTTTCCCCTTAATATGTCCTGTGAGTATCAGATTTTCCAAGCCCTCTTTCCTAATTACATGCCCCAGAAATTACAACTACCTCTTCGTGATGACCAGAGGGTACTTGGTTGAAATGTTGTATCTATAATGACATCTATATCAACCAAGACAAGAACAATAGTTCAAAATAATACAATATACTAAATTCTTTATCTTTTCTTCTCATTGCTAACCTAAGTTGCCCTGGCTTATTGGGTCAAAAAGTCACAAGTAGTAAAATTAAAAATTTAGTAGTGCTGGTTTTTCAAACATTGACCAACAATGTTGTACACATTGGTTGGGCAGTTATGAGATGAACCATTTTAGAGTGAAATCACTGTGGATGGCCGTTATTTCTTTAATATAACAAAATAAAATTGAAAAAAATATTAGTCTCTTTGCACAGAAGTTCCTATGTTGACTTTTGAGAGAGATACGAAATACTTGATTTATATATTAGTACAGACCGAGTTTGATTTAGTATAATAACTGAAATTATATTTGGATGTGTATAGTGTTCAATGAAAGAAATGAGTATAGAAAAAAAGAGCATTGCACTTGATCCAAATGTAACGAACTGGGGAAGTACAGAGAATTTTGTAAAATATTATAAAACACATCACAGAGAATCAGCAGGGAAAATCCTAGCACAACAATTTGAGAGAAATTTAAAAAACAAATTAACAAAATTAAAACATAAAAACATAACAGCATAATCTCCAAATCAGACTTTCAAATTACAACCTATAAAACTGTACACCTCCATTAACACCCATCAGAATTGAGAGAATACA